GATAGGGATGGAGCACTTTTGGGAGTGTCCTGAGTGCTATGATGTTGATTCTTAATTCAACATTCAGCATCTCCAAATATATCACATGTATTGCATAATATATCACTAGCATTTGTGCATGTAGATAATGTCTGTGCCTACAGAAAGTCTGGCCAATTTTCAAGTGTTCTTGGGTGGCTCATGTGGATGTAGCCAGCAACCCTCCAGGTGGCGTAGTGAGACTGCTATTCCCTTCCTGAAGAAAGAAAACATTACATTCTACAACCCGGTAAGTTTGTATTTGTATAATATTGTTGTTGATGTTGAGATTAATAGTCAACATTTATGTGTCTGTTAACTTTCATGTTCCAGTGATCGGAGGCACATTGGGTATTGCTCCTTTTATGTTCTGATCATAGTTGAGAATAATGTTTGCCCTTGAGTTTTATTTTGTTGTTTTGTTTTTTATTATTAAATTCCATTTCTCTTTAACTCACCTGCATATTGTTTTTCATTTGTCCAATTGAACAGCAAGTGAATACCTGGAGACCAGAACTGGTGGAGCTAGAAGACAGGGCTAAGAATGTAAGTTCCATCTTTTTATTTCATTTTTTAATAATTTAAATAAAAGAAAAAAAATCTGATTTGGTAAAATAGTGCTGCATTAGTTTTGTTTTATCTTTCAATTGTGACTTGATCACATGGCACTGTATTTTATCTATAATTTTTTTTTTATCTGACGCTGGGGTGGTGTTATATTTTATCTGTAGATTTATTTTATCATTCTCATCTGTGGATGGGGTGGTGTTATATTTTATCTGTAAATTTGTTTCATCATTCTCATCTGTTGATGGGGTGGTGAAATATTTTATCTGTAGATTTGTTTTGTCATTCTCATCTGTTGATGGGGTGGTGTTATATTTTATCTGTAGATTTGTTTCATCATTCTCATCTGTTGATGGGGTGGTGTTATATTTTATCTGCAGATTTGTTTCATCATTCTCATCTGTTGATGGGGTGTTGTTATATTTTAATTTGCAGATTTGTTTCGTCATTCTCATCTGTTGATGGGGTGGTGTTATATTTTATCTGCAGATTTGTTTCATCATTCTCATCTGTTGATGGGGTGTTGTTATATTTTAATTTGTAGATTTGTTTCATCATTCTCATCTGTTGATGGGGTGTTGTTATATTTTAACTGTAGATTTGTTTCATCATTCTCATCTGTTGATGGGGTGTTGTTATGTTTTAATTTGTAGATTTGTTTCATCATTCTCATCTGTTGATGGGGTGGTGTTATATTTTATCTGTAGATTTGTTTTATCATTCTCATCTGTTGATGGGGTGGTGTTATATTTTATCTGTAGATTTGTTTCATCATTCCTATCTGACGATTGGAGGTGGAAGGAGGGGGGGGGGGGGGGGGGATGCTATTTTTATTTGTGTAGATTTATTAAATTTTTTTCATTTGATGAAGGGAGGGTGCTGTTTTTTATCTAGATTTTGTTTAGTCTTTCTTACTTGACGATATAAGCTGTATCTTATATTTAGATTTGTTTCATCTTTCTGAGAGGTTGAACAGTATAATCGGGGTTTGTCCTGTTAATCTGCCATTGAGATTGAGATTTTGTGGTCTCAGTGTATGCAGCCCTAAACCCTCAGGCTCAGAAACCTTCTGTCTACGCTGCAGAGCTGGACAACACAGCCAGTAATGGCAGGGGGAAAAGGGGGAGGGGGGGGGGGGGGTTTAGAGTGATGTCCACATTTCCAAACCTTGTTACATACAAATGTTTTTGCTATGGAATATTTGGTTTCAGAACATGATTGTGCTTTGTGTTATATTGAAATGTGTATGGCAATTCTGTATTAACAGCTGGCGGCTCTACAGTTCTTCATGATAGATAACAACACCAGATCAGTGGTGGCTGTGTGTGAGATTGCATACCTTGTTGGTGAGTGTCCTAGTTACATCTCTGCTTTGCCTGATAGCCTGGTGTTGATTTTCTTTTCTTCTTCTTTCATCTTCTTCTTCTTCTATTTCTTCTTCTTCTTCTTCTTCTTCTTCTTCTTCTTCTTCTTCTTCTTCTTCTTCTTCTTCTTCTTCTTCTTCTTCTTCTTCTTCTTCTTCCCAGCATTCACCGACTGTAAACACTGACAGAAAATTCTAGTTGTTTGTCTGCTTCTGGACTTTGGTCTTTAGTTTTGTTCACACATTAGTTTTACAGATCTGGTTCATGCGTACTGTTGGTTCCTCACTCAGCTCTCAGGCAGGCACCGCGTCATTGAAGGAAACAGCCTTTTACAGCTTGTTTGCTAGAGGGGCAGTGGGTCTACTCGTTCCCCAAAACTGGGCCCCAGAATCACACTGGGAATATGCAAGGGTGCGTAACAGACAACACATCGATATATTGTGTCCGCCGGTCAAAATCAAACTACTGGACATACAAAATTTGCCTAGAGAAACCACACAACAGCCAAGGGCTGCTGGGGTTTGGTTCTGCAACGTCCTGTAAAGGATACGCAACTAACCAGGGCAAAATGGTTCCTTAAATGAACGAAAGGAGTAGGGTCATCGTCTCAGTATCATCTCCATTCTCTTGTACTTTGTGTCAGAGTGAAATAACTACAAGAGAGTACTTCATATACTGGTTAATGTGTGATGATAGTGCTAACATTTATATCTAGACATTTTGCTGTGTCTTCTCCCTCATGTGTACCAGTCATTGTATCATGTGTGAGTGTTGTTCTTACAGCATCTGGCATTGCTTGTTTACATCAAGGTGTCTCTGGTTTCTGCGACAGTAGTATCATTATTATGTAAGGTCCTTTACAGAACTCTGCTCCTATCAAAAATTGTCTGTAAGAAACTGTCCCTCACCAGCACTTTCCTGCTGTTGTTGAAAGAAGTATACAGATGATTTTATTGTTAGTGTCCCTATTATGAATTAGCAAGAGCTGGTTGGGGGGGGGGGGGGGGGGGCACAGAAGTGGTTTCTAAGATGCATGATGGGAATACCTTGGACAATTTGTGTAACTAACAATGATTGCCTGTACAAAGCTCAGAAAGGTGGAACATTATATGCAACCATTGTCAGCAGACTCAAAAGAAAACAGCTTACAGTTTTCTGTCTAAAGAACTGGACACTGTAGACTCAGCTACCACATGCATAAAATAAAGACTGTACAGTCCTTACAGTGTGCATGTCAGATGGGACCGCAAACACCTGAGCACATTCTGCAGGCCTGCCCACTATACTTACACCTACTAAGATAAGCCTGGCCTCAAGGGCAAAGCGTGTAGGGCAAGCTATGGGAAGCCGTGGAAGACCTGCAACTGACATGCAAAGTCATATTGGCTGCCCACCTGACGGTCTGACTCAAGCATACAAAAGTGAATGCCAAAAAGAAGAAAATAAGCAACCATCAGAAAGAAACCAGCAGTATTCTGTGGTCATGTGATAGACTTTGAACATACTGTAATGACTTGACAGATCAGCTGTAGAGGAAGGCAGAGGAGGGCTGAGAGAGAAGATGCTGGGTTGTCTCAGGCAGTGGCGTGAAGAAATATCAAGTGAACTGATTCAGAACACCAAGGACCATGATCTGTGGAGACTCTTGGAGGGCTATAAACTTCTGGCAGGGCACATGACGATGATGCATGTCCTCAGTGGGCATATGACCTTGTAGGACTAAAATAGTTACCATAAATTTTGGCATCGTAAGAGTCAAGTTTACAAACTTTAAAAAAATGTAAAATTCCAAAACTAGTGGTCAGTTTATATAGCAGATATAACATGTGTTAGGTAATTATGTACAGGCCTCATTCAGAAATGTGAAATTAAAAATCTTGAGATGAAGCTTAAGGTCAGCTTGTACACCCAATTGACTTGTATGCCACAATTGATGGTAAACCTCTTGTGTGCCTGTAACTTTCTTGTCCAGTCTGTTGTTGAGTTTCTACTTCTGTCTTACTCTGTTGCCACCAATCAGCACCTGTAGATGATCCATTGATCAGTATTTGTGTTGTCTGTAGATGACTCCATTGATCAGTATTTGTGTTGTCTGTAGATGACTTCATTGATCAGTATTTGTGTTGTCTGTAGGTGACTCCATTGATCAGTATTTGTGTTGTCTGTAGATGACTTCATTGATCAGTATTTGTGTTGTCTGTAGATGACTCCATTGATCAGTATTTGTGTTGTCTGTAGGTGACTCCATTGATCAGTATTTGTGTTGCCTGTAGATGACTCCATTGATCAGTATTTGTGTTGCCTGTAGATGACTCCATTGATCAGTATTTGTGTTGCCTGTAGATGACTCCATTGATCAGTATTTGTGTTGCCTGTAGATGACTCCATTGATCAGTATTTGTGTTGCCTGTAGATGACTCCATTGATCAGTATTTGTGTTGCCTGTAGATGACTCCATTGATCAGTATTTGTGTTGCCTGTAGGTGACTCCATTGATCAGTATTTGTGTTGTCTGTAGGTGACTCCATTGATCAGTATTTGTGTTGCCTGTAGATGACTCCATTGATCAGTATTTGTGTTGCCTGTAGATGACTTCATTGATCAGTATTTGTGTTGCCTGTAGATGACTCCATTGATCAGTATTTGTGTTGTCTGTAGATGACTCCATTGATCAGTATTTGTGTTGCCTGTAGATGACTCCATTGATCAGTATTTGTGTTGTCTGTAGGTGACTCCATTGATCAGTATTTGTGTTGCCTGTAGATGACTCCATTGATCAGTATTTGTGTTGCCTGTAGATGACTCCATTGATCAGTATTTGTGTTGCCTGTAGATGACTCCATTGATCAGTATTTGTGTTGTCTGTAGATGACTCCATTGATCAGTATTTGTGTTGCCTGTAGATGACTCCATTGATCAGTATTTGTGTTGTCTGTAGGTGACTCCATTGATCAGTATTTGTGTTGCCTGTAGATGACTCCATTGATCAGTATTTGTGTTGCCTGTAGATGACTCCATTGATCAGTATTTGTGTTGCCTGTAGATGACTCCATTGATCAGTATTTGTGTTGTCTGTAGATGACTCCATTGATCAGTATTTGTGTTGCCTGTAGATGACTCCATTGATCAGTATTTGTGTTGCCTGTAGATGACTCCATTGATCAGTATTTGTGTTGTCTGTAGATGACTCCATTGATCAGTATTTGTGTTGCCTGTAGATGACTTCATTGATCAGTATTTGTGTTGTCTGTAGGTGACTCCATTGATCAGTATTTGTGTTGTCTGTAGGCTGTGGAAGACAGATCATTGTGGTGTTCAGTAACTTCAACTCAGAAGTGGAGGAGGTTGCCATGGAGAAAACTTCTGAAAGGTAAGCCTGTTGTCATACAAGGACACTGTTGGTCTTCAATGGAAGTGCTGATTTGGATGTCAGTGATAATAGCAGTATTGGTGGTGCAGGTTATATTGATGGTGATAGAAATGGCAGGGTTGTGATTTTGTTGTTGGTGACCCAGGTGGTGATTTGGATGTCAGTGATAATAGCAGTATTGGTGGTGCAGGTTATATTGATGGTGATAGAAATGGCAGGGTTGTGATTTTGTTGTTGGTGACCCAGGTGGTGATTTGGATGTCAGTGATAATAGCAGTATTGGTGGTGCAGGTTATATTGATGGTGATAGAAATGGCAGGGTTGTGATTTTGTTGTTGGTGACCCAGGTGCTGATTTGGATGTCGGTGATAACAGCAGTATTGGTGGTGCAGGTTATATTGATGGTGATAGAAATGGCAGGGTTGTGATTTTGTTGTTGGTGACCCAGGTGGTGATTTGGATGTCAGTGATAACAGCAGTATTGGTGGTGCAGGTTATATTGATGGTGATAGAAATGGCAGGGTTGTGATTTTGTTGTTGGTGACCCAGGTGGTGATTTGGATGTCGGTGATAATAGCAGTATTGGTGGTGCAGGTTATATTGATGGTGATAGAAATGGCAGGGTTGTGATTTTGTTGTTGGTGACCCAGGTGGTGATTTGGATGTCGGTGATAATAGCAGTATTGGTGGTGCAGGTTATATTGATGGTGACAAAAGTTGTGGTGGTGGTGATTTTGTTGTTGGTGACCCAGGTGCTGATTTGGATGTCGGTGATAACAGCAGTATTGGTGGTGCAGGTTATATTGATGGTGATAGAAATGGTAGGGTTGTGATTTTGTTGTTGGTGACCCAGGTGCTGATTTGGATGTCAGTGATAACAGCAGTATTGGTGGTGCAGGTTATATTGATGGTGATAGAAATGGCAGGGTTGTGATTTTGTTGTTGGTGACCCAGGTGGTGATTTGGATGTCTGTGATAATAGCAGTATTGGTGGTGCAGGTTATATTGATGGTGATAGAAATGGCAGGGTTGTGATTTTGTTGTTGGTGACCCAGGTGGTGATTTGGATGTCAGTGATAACAGCAGTATTGGTGGTGCAGGTTATATTGATGGTGATAGAAATGGCAGGGTTGTGATTTTGTTGTTGGTGACCCAGGTGGTGATTTGGATGTCGGTGATAATAGCAGTATTGGTGGTGCAGGTTATATTGATGGTGATAGAAATGGCAGGGTTGTGATTTTGTTGTTGGTGACCCAGGTGGTGATTTGGATGTCAGTGATAATAGCAGTATTGGTGGTGCAGGTTATACTGATGGTGATAGAAATGGCAGGGTTGTGATTTTGTTGTTGGTGACCCAGGTGGTGATTTGGATGTCGGTGATAATAGCAGTATTGGTGGTGCAGGTTATATTGATGGTGATAGAAATGGCAGGGTTGTGATTTTGTTGTTGGTGACCCAGGTGGTGATTTGGATGTCGGTGATAATAGCAGTATTGGTGGTGCAGGTTATATTGATGGTGATAGAAATGGCAGGGTTGTGATTTTGTTGTTGGTGACCCAGGTGGTGATTTGGATGTCGGTGATAACATCAGTATTGGTGGTGCAGGTTATATTGATGGTGATAGAAATGGCAGGGTTGTGATTTTGTTGTTGGTGACCCAGGTGGTGATTTGGATGTCAGTGATAATAGCAGTATTGGTGGTGCAGGTTATATTGATGGTGATAGAAATGGCAGGGTTGTGATTTTGTTGTTGGTGACCCAGGTGGTGATTTGGATGTCAGTGATAACAGCAGTATTGGTGGTGCAGGTTATATTGATGGTGATAGAAATGGCAGGGTTGTGATTTTGTTGTTGGTGACCCAGGTGGTGATTTGGATGTCAGTGATAATAGCAGTATTGGTGGTGCAGGTTATATTGATGGTGATAGAAATGGCAGGGTTGTGATTTTGTTGTTGGTGACCCAGGTGGTGATTTGGATGTCAGTGATAACAGCAGTATTGGTGGTGCAGGTTATATTGATGGTGATAGAAATGGCAGGGTTGTGATTTTGTTGTTGGTGACCCAGGTGGTGATTTGGATGTCAGTGATAATAGCAGTATTGGTGGTGCAGGTTATATTGATGGTGATAGAAATGGCAGGGTTGTGATTTTGTTGTTGGTGACCCAGGTGGTGATTTGGATGTCAGTGATAACATCAGTATTGGTGGTGCAGGTTATATTGATGGTGATAGAAATGGCAGGGTTGTGATTTTGTTGTTGGTGACCCAGGTGGTGATTTGGATGTCAGTGATAATAGCAGTATTGGTGGTGCAGGTTATATTGATGGTGATAGAAATGGCAGGGTTGTGATTTTGTTGTTGGTGACCCAGGTGGTGATTTGGATGTCAGTGATAACAGCAGTATTGGTGGTGCAGGTTATATTGATGGTGATAGAAATGGCAGGGTTGTGATTTTGTTGTTGGTGACCCAGGTGGTGATTTGGATGTCAGTGATAATAGCAGTATTGGTGGTGCAGGTTATATTGATGGTGATAGAAATGGCAGGGTTGTGATTTTGTTGTTGGTGACCCAGGTGGTGATTTGGATGTCGGTGATAACAGCAGTATTGGTGGTGCAGGTTATATTGATGGTGATAGAAATGGCAGGGTTGTGATTTTGTTGTTGGTGACCCAGGTGGTGATTTTGATGGCATTAGAGGTGGCAATTTTTAGGGTGATTTTGATGACGATAGCCTTGGAGATTTTGAAAATGATAGATGTGATTCTGATTATGATATAGTGATAGAGGTGGTGTTTTAATAATATTTATGGTATGATAATGTGGTTCTGAGAGCAGCTGTGGTGTCGCAGCTAGACTCTCACCTGCAGATCTGAAACTCATGAGTTCAAATCTGAGCAGACCTTTTATTTCCCCAGCAAATGACCTTGGCTTCCATGCCGACGCAGCCTTAAATGGGTACCTGGTAAAGTCCTGGGAAATAAAGATATCACCCACCAAGTGCTGATTGGTTTATAAAAATTGGCCTAGCCCTAAATTCTCAGTGCTCCTGAAAGCATAGAAAAGGGCCCTTTTCTTTAATATGGTTGTAGTGTTGATTAAAACGCATCATCCTGTAGCGGGACCTTTGCAGAATGTTGCTCACGTCCTGGTCTACCTGAAAGAAACTCAAATCTGTCGCCAGCTCTTGTGCATTTTTAAATTCAAGCAGTCACTTATATCCTGTGCCCATCTTCGTGTTAATTTTGTTCCGGTCAAAATGGACGTTAGGCAGCGACACTGTTCGAAACAGAGGCAAATTTTTTGCTTCTGCCGGACGGTGGCCGATGCATTTTTGCTCCATTTGTAGACTGGATATAGTTTTGTCGCCCAGCTTCTGAGTTGAATGCATGGCTTGACCCTGTAAGCTGCGGATTGCATTTGGAATGTTTTTTCGACTGTGACCAACGTGTTGGTGTGAATTGTAGATTAAGAAAATGGCGCGATGCCTGTCGTGCAGTGTTGTGGTGCCCGTATGTGATTAAAATTGATTGCGTGGGCAACTGCTGATCTGTTGGCGACTTCTGCTACCATCAATGATGAACTGCAATTCTAATACTGTGATAAACATTCTGTGTGCTTTTCGTTGGCACAGGAGCGGAGCAAAGATGGGGTGACCCGTTTGCTATGAAGCTGAAACTAAGACTACCAGACTACCAGACTACCAGATCTTCGTGTTGGTTTGCCCCTGCCACTCCTTCCTGGTACCATGCCTTCTGCTATAATTGTTTCCAGTCCACCGTAGCGCTTGATATGGCCAAAATATGTCAGCTTTCAAGACAAGATGCTGTTTATTAGCCAATCTTCCTTGATGTTCAGATGATGAAATTACAATGTTCTTATTCTTGTCAGGGAACGGGAGGACATAATGCGGGCACGTAATGTATTGATGGACATCATTGAGAGGAATGGAATCCCAGTCTTCCAGGATCTAGAGTCTGCTCTACATTGTGCAGCCATACATCTGAAGCAGGTTGGTGGCTCTATGTCTCTCGTACCTCACTTGCCGTAATCAGATGATTGTTACTTATGTCTTTACCATCGTATTCATACCAACAATGCAGAACATAGAGATTCATTATCAAAAGCTAACATAAAATGAACACCAGTGAAATGAGATGCACCTTAACCGTCTGAGGCAAAATGAGAAATGATACTGTCAGACAGACTGGGAATAACACCATGCAGCACATTCAATGTGGAACAGAAGGTCAAATGGTCTTGCTGGAATGAAGGTTATCTGCAGTAGGTCTCCAATACTATCTTTTGTCTTGGTTGTACACTCTCTCAAACTGATGTTTGCCTGTCTCTTGATGTTGTCCTCCCACTTTTATCATTGTCTGCCTCTCTGTCTTCGACATCTTCCTCCAGTATGGTTTATAAAAGACTATTGTGTCTTATAATGTAAGCAAAATATTTCAATTGTCTGTTTTGTTGTTGTTTTTGAAATTGTGCTAGACATGACTGTGTTGTAAAAATATACTGGCTGTCTACTTCATTGTTCTGTGCATTAAATATATTTTAGGTAGAAATTTACAATGAAAATGTATCTGTTACCTGGCAGGGGGTGAAAGTTCAAGATCTAACTGTTGATCAAGGGGCCTTGCCAGTTAAACATGGCCATGTCTTGGTTGGGGAAGCATTACTGTAAGTTGTTCCTGTGATGTTGATTATGATGAGGGTAAAGAAGGATGAGAGGAGTTTGCATTTGCTGGGTGTATGCAGAGGGGTGACCCCTGTGACCATAAATAGGAAGGCATCACTAAAGCCAGCAGGTTAACCAGGGTTTCATGAACTTTATGTAGAGGCAGCTGTAGAGACTTCAATGACCAGAGGATAAATTACAGACGAAGAAGAATGACAATATGGATACATAAACTTTCCTGCAGATCAGGAATTTCAAACATGCGACCTGCGGGCTGCATGCAGGTCTTTGCAAGCACATGTGTGGCCTACACTAGGATACATAAGCATAAAAGGACCCTTTTCCACGCCTTTAGGTGTATTGGGGCACATAGGGCTAGGCTTATATTTTATAGATCAATTGGTACTTGATGGATGTTGTGGCCAGCATCACCCCAGTTGCCTTTACTTCCCAGGACTGCATCTGGTACCCACTCAAGGTTGGGTTGATCTGCAGGAGATCTGGCCGCTACATCACAGAGACTCCTATACATAAACATAAGGATCAATCAATTGTTGTGTATGGCCCTCATGACAGCACAAGTATGACCCATGTGACCCCCACAGGGGCCTTTTAGTTTGGCATACCTGCTGCAGAAAAAAAATAGCAGAATGGGATTATTTAACTCTTTGAGTCCCAAGGAACGTGTCGTACGTTCATAGATTCCTACCTAGAAGCCCATTGAACGCAAGATGCGCCGATTTTACATGTTTTTTTTTTACTACCCCTTGGGCCTGTGATGCTAAACCCCCTGGGACTCAAAGAGTTAAAATCTAGAATCCCACATGTGGTTTCTGCTGCCCCATTTTTAAGGAGAACAAATAAAAGATTCACTTCTGCTTGAGAAAGCATGAAGTACAAGATGACTGATTAAGGGTGTGTTAAAATCAGATTGTTGATACAGTAGGTGTAGATATCATAGCCTAGCTGTTAACCTCAACACGCCGGATATCATTTCAAGGGGGAAAGTAGCGTGATTGAGGTAGTGTTTACATGTATGTGGGATGATTGTTGGTATCTTGAGGTAATGTTTAAATGTGTGTGGAATGATTGTTGGTATCTTGAGGTAATGTTTAAATGTGTGTGGGATGATTGTTGGTATCTTGAGGTAGTGTTAAATGTGTGTGGGATGATTGTTGGTATCTTGAGGTAATGTTAAATGTGTGTGGGATGATTGTTGGTATCTTGAGGTAGTGTTAAATGTGTGTGGGATGATTGTTGGTATCTTGAGGTAGTGTTTAAATGTATGTGGGATGATTGTTGGTATCTTGAGGTAATGTTTAAATGTGTGTGGGATGATTGTTGGTATCTTGAGGTAGTGTTTAAATATGTGTGGAATGATTGTTGGTATCTTGAGGTAATGTTTAAATGTGTGTGGGAGGATTGTTGGTATCTTGAGGTAATGTTTAAATGTGTGTGGGATGATTGTTGGTATCTTGAGGTAATGTTTAAATGTGTGTGGGATGATTGTTGGTATCTTGAGGTAGTGTTTAAATGTATGTGGGATGATTGTTGGTATCTTGAGGTAATGTTTAAATGTGTGTGGAATGATTGTTGCTATCTTGAGGTAATGTTTAAATATGTGTGGAATGATTGTTGGTATCTTGAGGTAATGTTTAAATGTGTGTGGAATGATTGTTGCTATCTTGAGGTAGTGTTTAAATGTGTGTGGGATGATTGTTGCTATCTTGGGGTAATGTTTAAATATGTGTGGAATGATTGTTGGTATCTTGAGGTAATGTTTAAATGTATGTGGGATGATTGTTGGTATCTTGAGGTAATGTTTAAATGTGTGTGGGATGATTGTTGCTATCTTGAGGTAATGTTTAAATGTGTGTGGGATGATTGTTGCTATCTTGAGGTAATGTTTAAATGTGTGTGGAATGATTGTTGTTATCTTGAGGTAATGTTTAAATGTGTGTGGGATGATTGTTGCTATCTTGAGGTAATGTTTAAATGTGTGTGGAATGATTGTTGGTATCTTGAGGTAATGTTTAAATGTGTGTGGAATGATTGTTGCTATCTTGAGGTAATGTTTAAATGTGTGGAATGATGTGTGGAATGATTGTTGCTATCTTGAGGTAATGTTTAAATGTGTGTGGGATGATTGTTGCTATCTTGAGGTAATGTTTAAATGTGTGTGGGATGATTGTTGGTATCTTGAGGTAATGTTTAAATGTGTGTGGGATGATTGTTGGTATCTTGAGGTAATGTTTAAATGTATGTGGGATGATTGTTGCTGTCTTGAGGTAGTGTTTAAATGTGGGTGGAATGATTGTTGGTATCTTGAGGTAGTGTTTAAATGTGTGTGGGATGATTGTTGCTATCTTGAGGGATATTACGTAATCACTGTCTTTAGGTGGGTGTCATCACATAGTTTTTGGTTACAGTTGGGAGACAGAGATGATTTAGCAACTATGTAGATCGCTTTGCCTTGATTTTGACAATGGTATCAAGAGCCTGTTCATTCAGAAAGCAATGGCAAACTACTAAATGTGAAATTGGCTGTAACACCAAACAGTTGAAAAAAATGCTGGGGTAGGTTCAGCAATATCCTGTAAAGGGTACGCAACTAACATTTAAAAGTAGGAATGATCTGTTTCACTGCCGCTGTCGAGGGTAGGACTAGCATCTGTATTCTTTTATACTTTCTACCGGACTTCCATTTTCAAAATGGCGGATAGCAGCAGTGTTTATTTTCGCTGGCTGTCAATTCTCTCGGATTGTTCTGTTTCCTAATCATAGACTGCTATTTTGTGCGCATTTCCACTGCAGGATGCTTGTTGTTTTTTGGGGAGCAGTGTGTATTGTGTTTGTGCTATGTCCGGATGGGACAATGAACGAAAGTTTTGGTAGCCTCGACCACGCTGTCTTGGCTATGTTTTGATCATGGCGGTCCACTCGGGCAGACAGAATCTCGTCAGCAGGGGACTGCAACTGTCTTGAGAGAAAACTCAATAAAAGCTGTCCCCAGAAACGAAATGTGTTAACCATGTATTTGGTGGGGAGGAATCAACACATACGATTAACTCAATGGCCATGGCCATACTTTCTACAATTCTGAGAAAGGGTCCAAATTTGAATTATATCCCATTCTTTCGTATTACTGTTTGTACTTTCTGCTTTCTGCCATCACCGACTGTCAAAAGACATTTCTTTGGGATGTATTAATTTGCTTTTATAATATCCAGATGTGGCATTCTGTTCTTTGCCAAATGATACATGTATGGTTGTTTAGATGTGGTATTCTGTTCTTTGCCAAATGATACATGTATGGTTGTTTAGATGTGGTATTCTGTTCTTTGCCAAATGATACATGTATGGTTGTTTAGATGTGGTATTCTGTTCTTTGCCAAATGATACATGTAAGGTTGTTTAGATGTGGTATTCTGTTCTTTGCCAAATGATACATGCATGGTTGTTTAGATGTGGTATTCTGTTCTTTGCCAAATGATACATGTAAGGCTGTTTAGATGTGGTATTCTGTTCTTTGCCAAATGATACATGTATGGTTGTTTAGATGTGGCATTCTGTTCTTTGCCAACTTTATACATGTATGGTTGTTTAGATGTGGTATTCTGTTCTTTGCCAAATGATACATGTATGGTTGTTGAGATGTGGTATTCTGTTCTTTGCCAAATGATACATGTATGGTTGTTTAGATGTGGTATTGTGTTCTTTGCCAACTTTATACATGTATGGTTGTTTAGATGTGGTATTCTGTTCTTTGCCAAATGATACATGTATGGTTGTTGAGATGTGGTATTCTGTTCTTTGCCAAATGATACATGTATGGTTGTTTAGATGTGGTATTCTGTTCTTTGCCAACTTTATACATGTATGGTTGTTTAGATGTGGTATTCTGTTCTTTGCCAAATGATACATGTATGGTTGTTTAGATGTGGTATTCTGTTCTTTGCCAAATGATACATGTATGGTTGTTTAGATGTGGTATTCTGTTCTTTGCCAAATGATACATGTAAGGTTGTTTAGATGTGGTATTCTGTTCTTTGCCAACTTTATACATGTATGGTTGTTTAGATGTGGTATTCTGTTCTTTGCCAAATGATACATGTATGGTTGTTTAGATGTGGTATTCTGTTCTTTGCCAACTTTATACATGTATGGTTGTTTAGATGTGGCATTCTGTTCTTTGCCAACTTTATACATGTATGGTTGTTTAGATGTGGTATTCTGTTCTTTGCCAAATGATACATGTATGGTTAATTAGATGTGGTATTCTGCTCTTTGCCAAATGATACATGTATGGTTAATTAGATGTGGTATTCTGTTCTTTGCCAAATGATACATGTATGGTTGTTTAGATGTGGTATTCTGTTCTTTGCCAAATGATACATATATGGTTGTTGAGATGTGGTATTCTGTTCTTTGCCAAATGATACATGTATGGTTAATTAGATGTGGTATTCTGTTCTTTGCCAAATGATACATGTATGGTTGTTGAGATGTGGTATTCTGTTCTTTGCCAAATGATACATGTATGGTTGTTGAGATGTGGTATTCTGTTCTTTGCCAAATGATACATGTATGGTTGTTTAGATGTGGTATTCTGTTCTTTGCCAAATGATACATGTATGGTTGTTGAGATATGGTATTCTATTCTTTGCCAAATGATACATGTATGGTTGTTGAGATGTGGTATTCTGTTCTTTGCCAAATGATACATGTATGGTTGTTTAGATGTGGTATTCTGTTCTTTGCCAAATGATACATGTATGGTTGTTGAGATGTGGTATTCTGTTCTTTGCCAAATGATACATGTATGGTTGTTTAGATGTGGTATTCTGTTCTTTGCCAAATGATACATGTATGGTTGTTGAGATATGGTATTCTGTTCTTTGCCAAATGATACATGTATGGTTGTTGAGATGTGGTATTCTGTTCTTTGCCAAATGATACATGTATGGTTGTTTAGATGTGGTATTCTGTTCTTTGCCAAATG